CCTGTTGTGTTGCCTACTACTGTCCATGAACAAACAATCCACCTTTCTGCCTGCTGATCTTGGATTCATCATCCACCGGAGTCAATAGCCAGCATACTACCAGCCAACCTTGAGCTTGTCAGCCCCTGCAGCTGCATGAGTCAGGAAAAGCCTCCAGTTTGATGTTTGATCCAGGAACTTGGGACTTGCCAGTGTTTGAGCCATTTTCTGAAGATAAATTTCTTTCTATATATATAAACTTTACTGGCTTTGCTTCTCTAGAGATCCCTGCCTAACACAATGTCCAACCTTTTTGTTGTTGTTCTTGTTAGGTACTGTCAAGTTGGTTCCTACTCATAAGTGATCCTATGTACAACAGAACGAGATACTGCCTGGTCCTGCACAATACTCACAATAGTTGCTATGCTAAAGCTCATTGTTGTAGTCACTGTGTCAGTCCATCTTGTTGAGAGTCTTCCTCTTTTTTGCTGACCCTTTACTTTACCAACCATAATAGCCTCTCCAGGGATTTGTCCTTCCTACTAATATGATCAGAATACAAGAGGTGAAGTCTTGCCATCCTCATTTCCAAAGAGCATGCCAGTTCTATTTCATCCAAGATAGATTTGTTTGTTCTTCTGGCAATCTATATACCTTTTGGTATATAAATCAATAATAATACCTAAGAGGCCCTGAGTTCACATGAGTTTGATTACAATAGTTGGATATACCAAAGTGAAAAACTCTATCCTGTGGCCTCTTTCCCTAATTACCTCTGAGCCAGACCTACCTATAGATACTGTAATGACATGAACAGGAAAACAAAATAGATGCATCTGGTGGTTGCAGTCACCTCTGAGATGTACTTGGGCCATTCAGTTTTAGTCTTGTTTCTATTCAATACCACAACAGACCCTCATGGTTAATGCTAGTTGGGACCTTAATTCATGCTACAATTCCAGGAGTCTTATGAGTCCCAGGAGCATGAGAAGAAAGGTGGACATATAGCTTGCTGGCATTGATGGGGGCAAACATCATCAGTAATAGCCATCAAAATAGGTGAGCAAATCACCTGAGAAGTTGGAATAGGTGAAGAACAATGCTGTATCAGGATTGGATTAAGACTCATTAACAACCTGCAATATGCAGATGACACAAACTTGCTGAAAGTGAAGATGACTTGAAGCATTTCCTGATGAAGATTAAGACTACAGTCTGTAGTACAGAGTATACCTCAACACAAAGAAAATGAAAGTTCTCACAACTGGACCAGAAAGTAACATCACATTAAATGAAGAAAAGCTTGAAGTTGTCAGTGATTTCATTTTACTTAGATCCACAATCAACACCCATGGAAGCAGCAGTCAAGAAATCAGACATCAAACTGCACTTTAAAGTACTGAAGAGAAAAGATGTCACTTTGAAGATGAAAGTGTGCCTAACCCAAGCCATGGTATTTTCAATCACCTCATATGCATGTGAAAGCTGGACAATGAATAAAGAGGACCAAAGAAGAGGTGGTGCTTTTGAGTTGTGGTGTTTGCAAAGAATGCTAAGAGTACCATGGACTGCTAAAGGGACTAACAAATTTGTCTTGGAAATACAGCTGAAATGGTCCTTGGAAGCAAGAATGGCCAGATTTTGTCTCACCTACTTTGGTCATTTTGTCAGAAGGGACCATCCCCTGGAGAAGGATATCATGCTTGGTAAAGTAATGGGTCAGCAAAAATGGAGAAGACTCTCAATAAGATAGATTGACACAGTGGCTGCAACGATGGGCTCAAGTATAGCAAGGATCGTGAGGATTCTGCAGGACTGGGCAGTGTTTCAGTCTGTTGTACATAGGGTCATGGTGAGTTGGAGCTGACTAAACAACACCTAACACCAACAACAACAGCCTTTAATTGAAATGTGTTTATTATTTGCAAATGATCTCACATCCATTGTCATCTTTGATTCTGAGTACATTCCTATGAGGTAAGAAAAACCAGTTGTCATTGAATCAGTTCTGACTCATGACTACCCCATGTGTGTCAGAATAGAACTGTAATCCACAGGGTTTTCAATGCCTGGCTTTTTAAATTAGATTGCCAAGCCTTTCTTCTGAGGTGCCTCTGAGTGGACTTTAACCTCCAACCTTTCCTTAGCATGTTAGTAATTTGCACTACCTAGGTACTTCATGAGGGTGGCTGGGTAGGTGTTATTATCAACATTTCATAGATGGAAGAACAGACTTAAAAGAGACATAGTGAGTGTCCCAAGTGGAAGAGTTTGGACCCAAATGTAACCCTGTTTCTAATGCTCCCTCTGCTATTCTATCATGTTCCACATCTGTATTTTTGGGGACAAAGTATAGTTGTTTTACTTCTCCTTATAAAGAATAGAAAGTATTCCTTATGTAGATATGGTCTCCCCTAGCCTTTAAGAAGTCTAGGGGCAGTTTCACAAGGTATTTAGTTCACATGCAAGTAGAAGACAGAAATAAATAGGGACTTGACTGCTAACCAGAAGGCTGATGGTCCAAACCCACCAGCCACTCCTCAGAAGGAAGATGGGCAATCTATTTCTGTAGTGATCCTGTCTCAGAAACCCAAGGAGGGGTCACTATGAGTCGGGTCTGACTCGATGGCACATAACAACAACAACAAATTTATGGTAATATACTGAATTTCATTTAGCATTTATGCTAAATGAAAATGTTAAAAATATCAAACATTAGTCTAAAGTTTGTGGACATAAACATTTAAATCATCTGCAATTTAAAAATCAATGTGATCTCAATATGTTTAGTAAACTCAATTGTACAGCTCCAGTCTGATCACTAGTTTTATATTAAAACAATTAGGCTTTTGAGATAATGCTGAATATTAGTGACTTATTGGTTAAATGGCTGTAACATTAGAATCTTTTCAAAGTGGAACTTCAAGTATTGTATGATAGTATGTATGGTAGGTTGAATGTTAATATTAGTTACTTACACCAATGTGATGACTTGAGAATTGATGTATTGTCTGTAAATGTCAGAACTCTCAAAAGCATCCATCATCTGTTACAAGAGAACAGAGTCAAACATAGAATTTCAGTAGTATATTTATATTACAGAGAATTTATTGTGAAGCAAATACAGGAAAATGAGAACTTACCCGAGTCTCAAGAATTTTGCTAAGACGGTTATTTTCTAGTGATGTCTCCCTTTCATAATTGCTATTGAATGGGATATCCACAACTTTAAAGCTACCTTGATAATAATAGGTCCTGTTTTCTATGACATAAAGAAATAATACAAGAATTATTTAAGTAAAATTGACTTAAAATCCAGATATATCTACATATTAATAGCAAATAGTAAGTGTTGTGCTCATAACAGATATTGATAAAACCTTATGTATTCTGCTGATAAACCAACACTTATTTGTCATTTTGTCAAACTGTGGTGGTTTACACGTTGGTGTGATGCTGGAAGCTACACCACTTGTATTTCAAACACCAACAAGGTTACCCATGACAGATAGGTTTCAAGGGAGCATCCACACTAACACAGATTAAGAAGAAGGAATTGGCTATTTACATTTTAGAGGATTAGCCAGTGAAAAGCTTATGGAAAACTGCAGAACACTGTCTGATAAAGTACCAGAAGATGAGCCCCTTAGGTTAGAAGGCACTCCAATTATGATGAAAGAAGAGCTACCTCCTCAAAGAAGAGTTGACCTTAATAATGTAGATGGAGTAAACCTTTTGGGACTTTCATTTGCTGATGTGACATGAATCAAAATGAGAAGAAAGAGCTGCAAACATCCATTAATAATCAAAGATGAAATGTACCCAGTATGAATCAAAGAGAAGTCATTAAAAATGAAATGGAACACATAAAGATCAATATCCTATCCATTACTGAGCTGAAATGGACTGGTATTGGCCAGTTTTAATTGGACAATCAAATGGTCTACTATGAAGGGAAGGAAATGAGGTGGAGTGGCAGGTTTGGAGCAGCCTGAGGGGGCCCAGGAAGGAAGTGAGGCAGTGAGGCAGGTTTGGAGTGGGCTGAGGGAGACCAAAAAGTGAGCGGAGTGGTTTGGAACAGTTAAGGGAGATGAACTTGTCTGTCAGTTTGTCTTAATGTGATGGTTACTAAGACAGACTCGGAAGAAGAAAGAGGCTATCCACTTCTCAAAGAATCAGCCAGTGAAAACCTTGTAAATAACAGTGAAACACTGTCTGATATACTACTGGAAAATTTTATGAATAACCTTGAAACATTGTACAATATAGTGCCAGAAAACGAGCCTCTCAGGTCAGAAGGAACTCAAAATATGACTGAGGAAGTGTTACCTCCTCAGAATAGAGCCAACCTTAATGATGTGGATAGAGTAAAGCTTTCAAGACCTCCATTTGCTGATGTAGCATCACTCAAGATGAGAAGAAAAAGCTGCAAATATCCAATAATAATCAGAAGATGGAATGTACAAAGTATGAATCTAGGGAAATTGGAAGCTGTCAAAAATGACATGGAACACAAAAAGATCAATATCCTAGTCATTAATGAGCTGAAATTGACTGGTTTGGGGCATTTTGAATCAGAAAATCATATGATCTACTATGCTGGGAATGACAAATTGATGGGGAATGCTGTGGCATTTATTATTGCAAAGGATGTTTCAAACTCTATCCTGAAGTACAATGCTGTCAGTGATAGGATAATATTCATATGCCTACAAGAGAGAGCAGTTAATATGACTATTATTCAGATTTATGCACCAGCCACCAAAGCCAAAGAGGAGGAAATTGAAGATTCCTACCAACTTCAGCTGTCTGAAATTGACCAAAAATGGAATCAAGATGTGTTGATTATCACTGGTGATTGGAATGCAAAAGTGGGAAACAAAGAAGAATCACTGGTAGTTGGAAATTATGGCCTTGGTGATAGAAATAACACTGGAGATCATATGATAGAAGTTTGCAAGACTAACGACTTATACATTGCAAATACCTTTTTTCAACAACACAAAGGGTGGCTATACATGTGGACTTCACCAGATGGAATATACAGGAATTTATATATTTTTATATTTATATATATATATATATATATATATAGTTTTATATATTATATTATATTTTATATATTTTTTTAATATATTTATATATGCTATGAAGACTGAATATCCAGGTAAAGGGGCGGGAGGCAAGGCTAGGCCCTAAGTCCCCTATAGCCAGAAAAGGGAAGCAGCAGGAGAGGCCAGGGACATCAGGAGTGGCAAGATATCCAGGTAAAGGGGTGGGAGGCAAGGCAGGCCCCATCCCCCTAGAGCCAGGAAAGGGAGGGAGCAGCCGGGGACCACAGAGTGGCAGGTTCCAGTAGGAATTAGGTAAGAGGAGGATGCAGAGGTTTCCAACAGCTAAGGGAGACAAACTTGTCTGTCAATTTGTCTTTCTGTGGGGCTTGTACGTTGCTGTGAGGCTTGAGGCTGGGCCACTGATGTTTCAGAGGCCAGCAGAATTGCACAAGGAGCACAGGTTTCAATGTAGCTCATGGACTAAGACAGATTAGGAAGAAGGAGGAGATCATCCACTTCTCAAAAATTGGCCAGGGAAAACCTTATGAATAGCAGAGAAACACTGTCTGATACATTACAGGGGCAACTTTATGAATAGCTTAGAAACATTGTCCAACACAGTGCAGGAAGACAAGCCCCTTGAGTCACAAGGCACTCAAAATAAGACTGGGAAAAACTTGCCTCATCAGAGTAGAACCAACCTTAATGATATGTATACAGTAAGTCTTTCAGGACCTCCATGTGCTGACGTAGCATGACTCAAATTGAAGAGAAACATCTGCAAATATCCATTAATAATCTGACCATGGAATATACAAAGTATGAATCTAGGAAAACTGGAAGTTGTAAAAAATGAAATGGAATGCATAAAGATTGATATCCAAGGCATTAGTGAGCTGAAATGGATGGGTTTGGGGCATTTTGAATCAGATAACCCTACTACGCCAGGTATGACAAATTGAAGAGGATTGGTGTGGGATTCATCATCACAAAGGATGTTTCAAGATCTGTCCTGAAGTACAATGCTCTCAGTGATAGGATAATACCCATACATCTACAAGGAAGACTCATTAATACTACTATTATTCAAATTTATGCACCAACCATCAAAGCCAAAGATGAGGGAATTGAAGATTTTTATCAACTTCTGCAGTCTGAAATTGACCGAACATGCAATCAAGATGTGTTAATTATCACTGCTGATTGGAATGCAAAAGGTGGAAACAAAGAAGAATCACTGGTAGTTGGAAAATTTGGCCTTTGTTACAGAAATAATGCCAGAGATTACATTATAGACTTTTTCAAGACCAACCACTTATACATTGCAAATACCTTTTTTCAACAACACAAATGGTGGCTATACAAGTGGGCTTCACCAGATGGAGTACACAGGAATCAGACTGACTACATCTATGGCAAGAGGGGGAGCTCTGGTAGCATAGTGGCTAAGACACTTGCCTGCTCACCAGAAGGCTGGCGGTTCAAACCCACCAGCCACTCCTCGGAAGGAAGGTTGGGCAATCCTACTTCCGTAGTGATACTGCCTCGGAAACCCAAGGAGGGGTCGCTATGAGTCAGGGCTGACTTGACGGCACATAACAACAACAACAACAACAACATGGCAAGAGGAGATGGAAAAGCTCAATATCTTCAGCCAAAACAAGGCCAGGAGCTGATTGTGGAACAGACCATCAACTGCTCATATGCAAGTTCAACTTGAAGTTGAAAACAATTAAAACAAGAGCCAAATGAGAGCCAAAATATGACCTTGAATATATCCCTCCTGAATTTAGAGACTATCTAAAGAATAGATTTGCAAGAACAGTTAATGCACCTAGTATTCTAATTTACACAGCAATCCCTAATGCCAAAGGTAAAGATATTGAAAAATTTCACCAATTCTGAAATTTGAAATTGACCAAACATGTAATCAAGATGCATTACTAGTGATTGGAATGCAAAAGTTGGAAACAAAGTAGTAAGATTGGTAGTTGAAAAATAGGCCATGGTGACAGACACAACCCTAGAAATTGTAAGATTGAATTTTGCAAGACTCACAAGATATTCACTCTTTTTCAACAACATAAACAGCACGTGGACTTTGCCAGGTGGATTACACAGCAATCAAATCTACTACACTAGTGGAAAGAGACAAGGAACAAGCTTAATATCATCAGCCAGGGCAAGCCTGGGGCCAACAGTGGAAGAGATCACAAATTATTCATATGCAAGTTCAAGTTGAAGCTGAAGAAAATTAAAACAACTCCATGAAAGGTAAAGTAAGACCTTGCAAAAATCCTACCTGAAGTTGGAGACCACCTCAAGAATAGATTTCATGTATTAAAGACTAATGACTGAAAACTAGATGAGTTGTGGGCAATAAGGACAGCATATGTGAAGAAAGAAAAAGGTCATCAAAAAGATAAGAAAGAAAGAAAAGTCCAAAATGGATGTCAGAAGAGACTCTGATACTTGTTCTTGGATGGAGAGTAGATAAAGTGAATGTAAGAAATGATGAAGTAAAAGAGATGAACAGAAGATTTCAAAAGGGTAGCTCCAGAAGACAACGTATGATATTATCATGAAATGTGCAAAGACCTTTAGTCAGAAAACCAAAAGAGAAGAATATGTTTGCACTTCTCAAGTTGAATGAAATGAAGAACAAATTCAAATTTTGAGTTACAATACTGACGGATTCAATGAGCAAAGTATTGAACAATCCAAGAAGTATCAAAAGAAGGTAGAAGGAATACAGAGTAACTGTACCAAAAATAATTGGTCAAGATTCAACCATTTC